AACATGATGTTTTAGTATATGTACACATAAATAATTAACACATCTATCACCTCACATGTTTTTCATTTTTTTGTGGAGAAAACATTTAAGATTGTCTTAGCAATTTTCAAGTATTAAGTATAGTTGCTGTGCTGTTCAGTAGATCTCCAGAACTTATTCATCTTGTCTAACTGAAACTTTGTACCCTTTGACCAATATTTCCACTTTCCCAGCCTCTGGTGATCACAGTTCTACTCTCAGTTTCTATGAGTTCACCTTTTTTTAGGTTCCACATATAAGTGAGATCACGTGGTATTTGTTTTTTCTGTGCCTGGCTTATTTTTCTTAGCACGATGTCCTCAAGATTCATCCATATGTCGCAAATGGCAGGATTTCCTTCTTTTTAATGTTGAACAGTATTCCATTGTGTGTGTGTGTGTGTGTGTACACAGAGTTGTATATACATCTCACATTTTCTTTGTCGATTCGTTCGTCCACAGACATTTGCGTAATTCCATATTTTGGCTATTGTGAACAAAGCTGCGATGAAATGAGAGTGCAGATATCTCCTCAACGTATTGATTTGATTTCCTTTGTGTCCATTCATTCTTGTTCATTATAATAGTATGACGCCTATCTCAGGTATGATTGGCTTGGGGAGTAGTTTTATAAGGAGTTAAGATTTCAAAGAGAGGGGAAAGTATTTCCAGTTATAGTTTTCCTAAAGTAAATGCTCTAAGAAAAAGGAGGGGAGGGAAATCTTTTCCCTTACCTTCAATAGGAAGAATTAAGCCTCTTATTTTTAATTTGTATTTGCTCTTATACCCCACTTATTTGCCCCTATCTTAAATATAAGGAACTTAATCTTGTTAAACTTATAGTAGCACTACAATAAGCAGAAGTGATTTTTAAGTACACTTGTAATTTAGTTTTATTCCATTTTAAACTAAGTCATAGCTTAGTTTTATTCGGTGTTAACATTTTAAATTGCACATAAAAATTAGGATTTTGTAAAAGGAGAGTATAGTGTCAAGAATTCAGTGCTAGATATCTTGACTAAATCACCATATTCGTTAATAGCTGAACAGCCTGTGATGTTGGGCAGCTTACAACCCTGAAGCTAGGAAATAAACGAAATAAATGTGACCCTATAAATGTGAACAAAGGATTTTCTTTTTTTAAAAAAAATGGTTTTTGTTTTCTGAGGTCAAAGGTTTCTTTGTTTTTTAAAACTTTGCTAGCAGTTGAAACTTTAAAATTTCCTATACTGACCCTCAACAAAATCAGGGGCAGACACTGATTATTTTTATAGTAGTGAATTACATAATTCTATTCAAGGAATTAGAATCTAGCCAAGGGTCATTTTACTTAGATCTTGATTTGCTTTTAGTTTTTCCCTCCCCCTCCCTTTCCTTGTCCTCACTCTATGCATTTCCCTTCCAAAAATCCCATCAGTAAGTTGCTGCACGTCTGCCACCCCAAAATGTCCATGTCCTCCTCCTTCGCAGCAGTGTCGTTGCAGTGGTGCTCCTCTGTCCTTACAGCATCTGCATGGTGCTCCGCTCTGTGCACCAGCTGGGCTCCACATTTGCTCTCAGAGAGGCAGTTTCCGTCAGCTACTTCTTCCTTAAAGGAGAACTGAGGGAGGACTCCTCTCAGTGGTCCCATCTTTGCTTTATAGCCACAGACCCACCATGACCAGGGTGAGAGTCACATTCTCCCTTCCCACTGCTCTAAAGTCTCACTTCACAGTGACCACCTTGTTGACGGTTACTTTACAGGTCACTTGGTCACCTTGAGCAGCCAGGCCTTGTAAGTGGTCACAGACTTGGATCTTTCCTGACTGATACATGATGTATCCAGGCTGCTGTTGGTAGACAAGGAGTACTGTTTATCCCACTCTGGATGTAAGTGAAAAGTAATAGCTGCCGGGCTGAGTACTGCTAGGAAACTTTGTCCTTTTCTCCCTGTTCCTGCCCCTCCACTACCCGTGTGTGTGTGTGTGTGTGTGTGTGAGTGTGTGTGTGTGTGTGTGTGTGTGTGTGTGTGTGAAGAATATCAATATTTAGAATGTTGAAATCTTAACCATGTAGCATTTAAATTTTCTTCTTAGGAATCTCTCTGCATGGAAGTAAGAATTGAGAACTAATTACATAAATTGCTGAGCTTTGAAAGATTTGTGTAGGGTTTCTGCCCCTAGATATCTATTCCACAAAGAGTATCTTGTGACTAGTAAAGAAAATAGAAATTCATTTAATAAGACTGCCATCCCACTCTTGAATGTTAAACAGATTTAAGGATTTTTTGAACCATGAGCCATTGACTAGATATTCTTTGCAAAGTAAGCTAAGTATCCCACCTCACCAATTATTTTAAGAGATATAAAGTGAATTACAATTTTAAAGATAACTTCTAACATCAGGAAAATGTGTGTGTCTGTGTGCATTTTCCTCACTAAGGTTTGAAAAAAATCTCATCTTGTTCAACACGCACATAGTTCAGCTGGGAGCGGTCTTACCCTTTACTACTTCTGAATTTTCTCCTTGCATGGCTCTCAAACCTAACTACCTTATATCACTTTGAACCCTTCTCTGAGCCTTTAAGTTGTTTCACTAACAGAATGGACCATTGGCTGAAGCTCACTATGCCTGTGGAATCACCACCCCTGTGTATAGATACTGGGATCTGGAATGCCCCATCATCACAGCGTGGCAGCGGCTAACTCAACTTGCTGTACTCTAGAAATCCAGAGTTGCCTTGTAAAGTCAGCCCTGCTGAAAACTGCCTAGGGTGTGTTACTTGGGTGGACCGCCCCTGCATTACAGAGATGTGTGAGCCATAATGCCTGTAATTGTGCTTAGACAGAGCCAAATACACTGTTGCTGATTAATAAATAATGGATGGTTTATCATAGAATTGTTTTTATTGGCAGATGCTCTGAGAGATTCAAAGGCTGTGTGTAAATGAAGAATGCCCTCGTTGTTTATTCAGTTCCTGCTTTTCTATTTAATATAAGGGTATCTTGAGAAAATTTCTTGAATATCAAACCACAAGTAAAATTTAGGCAGTTTTCTCCCTAGATTTTTAAATAGGCCATTTGACTACAACATGTTTTCAGTTGCCTCTGATGATTTGGATGTGGGTGTGTGTCTGTCCACGTTTGGCTGGAGGGAGAAAGGGGTGAAAAGAGATGAAGCCCAGAAGTTGACCATCTAGTTGTATCTGTCACAATTCGCTTAAATAAATTCAATTGAAATTCTGGTTAGTTGACTGTGTTTGTAGCATAGCTAGCTGCTGAGAATTTAAACAGAAACATATGCAAAGTGAGAGGACAGGACGTAGGAATCATATGCGAAGTAGGTCAGGAGAGGATGACAAAGGAGATAAGTTTGATGTGTAATAGAGAATCATGAGGGTTGCCAGAGGAAGCAGAGCAAATTGCATTTTCACAGGGAAAACAATGTGTTTGAAGATGTGTGACATGATCAGCAGCAGGTGTTCTTGGAACCGTAAGTTGTTCAGTGATGTTAAGCATAAAGTGCTTTATTTTTTTTATTTTTTTATTTTTATTTTTTTAAAAGATGACCGGTAAGGGGATTTTAACCCTTGACTTGGTGTTGTCAGCACCATGCTCACCCGGTGAGCAAACTGGCCATCCCTATATGGGATCCGAACCCGTGGCCTTGGTGTTATCAGCACCACACTCTCCCGAGTGAGCCGCAGGCTGGCCCATAAAGTGCTTTATAGCCCTGAGAAAATGGGATTATGGCGCCTAGGTAATGAAAATCCTGGGGCCTGTCTCTGTAAAGCAGTAATAAATTCTTCCAGGATATGTAGGCCTGACCAAAAAGAATGTGAAGCCAAATGATAGATTTGTCATATCTTCCTTGTCTTTTGTCCTATGCTCAAATGTTCTCAATATCCAGCAATCAAGAGGAGCCTGACAAATAATCAACCTAATTTGATATAAAGATAGCAGCTAGTGTTAAGTGGGAATGGTATTTAAGAAGCCCCCAATTTTATACGTGGTCATTTTGTGAGTAATATTTTCATGTTTGGGTAGTATAATGCTAGGGACTCTAGTCAGCAGGAGACCCTGCATATGTAGAGAATAAAATGCAGAATTCTGAGGATGGCTTTATGACTTGCATGAAAAAGAAGATGAAAATACTCGGAAGGAGACATTTTTATTCAGCACACAGTCGCATCTTCAGTGCTAGCATACCATGTTGCCTATGTGTTAGGTGTTTAAGAATGGTAATTGAACATGTATTGCATGAGACATAGCTATTTTAACATATAATATTTTAAAATTATTTTTCGTGTGGCTTCTTGGCACCACTGCTGTCTATTTCACATGAGCCAAAGGTTACAGTTAAGGTAATTGGTCAAGCAGTTAAAACATCTTACAATGGGGAGAGAAAGTTTGAATAAAACTAACTTATAGTGCTTTACTTTAAGTTAAAGAATGAATTTTTTAATACTTCAGGGAATATACACAAACAACATTGAAAGCATTTTTTTTTCAGTTGAGTTTATTGAATTGAAAGTATTATGAAGTAATAGGCAGATGGACTTATTTCTGAGAATTTTTCTGTGTTTGGAAACCAGTAAAGCTCATTTTATTTATCTTTTTAATTTTTTAAATAAATTTTATTGTATATATTTAAGGTATACAGTATGATCTTGTAAGATTCATGTGTATAGTAAAATGGTTACTACAGTGGAAAAAATTGATATTTATCATCTCACATATTTACTTCTTCTTTTCCCTTGTGGCAAGAACAGCTATAATCTACTCATTTAGCAAAGTCCTAAGTACATACACTATTAACTATAGTCCTCATATTGTACATTAGACATTTAGACTTGTTTATCCTACATATTTGCTGCTTTGTATCTCGTTTTAATATAAAACAGAATTCAGCTGTAAAAGAGAGTGTGTGTGTGTGTGTGTGTGTGTGTATTGGGAGTTGGATATACTTAAGTGATGATGAAGTTATAAATCCCTTATTTTATTTTATTTATTTTTTTTTAGGTGCTGGTGAATCTGGGAAAAGTACAATTGTGAAGCAGATGAAGTAAGTAGATTTAAAATATTAAATTCTTTTTTATGTACAAGTGTGCCCTTCTATCAAAGGAAGTAAGTGTTCTTTTTTTCCTTTCATCTCGTTAGAATTATCCATGAAGCTGGTTATTCAGAAGAGGAATGTAAACAGTACAAAGCAGTGGTCTACAGTAACACCATCCAGTCAATCATTGCTATCATTAGGGCCATGGGGAGGTTGAAGATAGACTTTGGTGACTCAGCTCGGGCGGTAAGTTATAAATGTGTTGGAGCAGGCCTGATGAGTAAAAAGGGTAACTTGCATAATGATCCCATGCTATATCACATAGGCTTGCCACCTTCAGGACTGTTTTATAAAAGCAGTCAAAGTGATAGAAGTGAGTGAAGTGAGTCAGGAGTTTTATAAGTGAGTGAAATAAGAATATACAGGATTATATAATCTTCCCTTTATAGCTATACTTTTCTTATCTATCACATGATTTGGACAACTCAATAATTACTACAATATTTTCTGTATAATATATACAGAAATATATAACATGTTTATATCAGGTACCCTTGTATCCCTGTAATAATTTTTAGTAGTTAGTACTGAGTGAACTGCTTACACTGGCACTCTTCAAAATCTGTTTTTGTAATTTGGGATACTGAAATGATCTTGTTATTTGTATCTGTGCCCAGATGAAAAAGTGATCTAATTTCGAATAATGAAAACAGTATAAAGATTTGCCTATCTTTGGAATAGGAAAATACTGGCTATTAAAAAACATGTACCAGAATTTTAGAGCTAAAGAGGACCTTTGGAGAAAATCAAGTTCCACCCCTTAATTTTACCTGTAAAGAATCTGGAACCCAGGAAATACATGATAGATTACCACACAGTTAATGGTAACCAGGCCACTATGCCTGTGCTTCCTTATTTGGTCCAGTAACTTGTTTTCTGTTTGATTGGAAGCAGCCCTGGTCTAATAGGACACTTTCTTTTTCTTCTTTTCCTCCAGCCCCGTTTGATTGCTTTATCTGTTTGTTTCAAGTTTTTTATTTGTATATATAATTCATACTTCACCGGTTCTTTTTGTAATAATTCACGTAAAATTTGACCTGACCAGAAGCCTTTAACTGAAAACCTAGGTTAATTTTTAGTACAATATAGATGTATTATTATATTATTACTACTGTTGATTTTTATAGTTCCTTTGAATTTTTGTGTACTCAATATGTATGTGCGTGCTGTCTCCCTGCTAAGAATATGACGAATTGGTGTATAGAGAATATAATTTTTTTCTTTCTTTTTTTTTAAGCACACAGGCTCAATTTATGCTTAATAGGAAAGAAAAATTAATGAAAGCAACATTAGGGAATATGCCTTGGAGAAATCTATAAAATAAACCTGTTTATTTTTATTAGTTACTTTAAGATTTTCTTATAAGTTACTGGGCCATAATAATTTACTAAGGTTTTTTTTTTTTTTTTTTTGTCTTTTTCCGTGTCCGGCAACGGATCACAACCCTCAGTGTTGCCCCCGTACCGGACCGGGGACCGGCAACGGGATCACAACCCTCGGGGTTGCTCCCGCGCCTCGCTCAGCCAGTGAGCAGGACCCGGTCTGTACGTGGGATCCGAACCCTCGGGCGGGAGCGCCGCCGTGCTTCCCAAGCAGCGCACCTATCCAGTGCGCCACCGGGCCGGCCCTTTACTAAGGTTTTTAAACAATGATTTAAAAGCATAGTGTGATTAAATTTTTCAAGTAGATTTCAAGATCATTTTAAATAATTTATGCATTTATTCATCAACAAGCACTTTCTGAACTCAAAAGTGTTGAATAAATAAATCTTAAATGTGTATTGCTGAGTGAATGGATAGTAGATAGGGCAAAAAAATGTTCAGGATATGATCAAATCTTGTTTCAGAAAAGACAGTTTAGAACAATGGTTGAATTATTTTTAAAAACAATCTTGAAGTCTACTTGGAAATGTTGATCAGTCACACTAAGAAGCTTTTTAATCTTTGTTTAAAAGAACTATATGGAAGGGAACCACCCTTAGATTAAGAAGGAATTAAAATTGTACTTTACACCAATTCTGATTACTGTAATTTAAACCTTTTATCAAATTCACGTGTACAGTATTCTGCTTTCAGGTCTTATATGTGGTTGTAAAAGAGAAAGGTTTTGTAGTTTCCATTTTAGGAAATAATGAAAGGTCAATACAAGCAGCTTTTTATGGAGTCTGTTTTCATATTTTTCTCTCAAGGAATGTCATTTTTTGCTTTAAAAAAAAAAAAGCAAAATATAACTTGGGCTTAGTTTCAGAACTGACTGGCTGACTGGTAATAACTACTCTCCCACCACAAGCTTTTCTTTTTTAAATCAGTTTTGCTTTGGAATGTATGTATGGGCCTGGTTTGCTCATTTTGTTTCACTAGTAGGACCCACTTTTTAGACTCTCTCTGGCTATATCCCAGTAACTGTTTTCTTCCTACCTTCAGACCATTACTTGTGTCTGCTTTAGCCGTCCACACAGATGTCTTTATGTTCTCACATTGCTTCTGATTGGCCTACTCTGTGATTTGTGTTGCCTTGCCTCTATGTAAGTTTTAAAATACTGCTAGGCTCTTGGATTGTGCTAAAGAATACAAAGAGGAATTAAACCTGGCCTGAACATGAGGAAGGGACATTTGAACTGAGTATTGAAACATGAGTAAGAGTTTTCTAGACAAAATCGAAGAAATAGCATTCTATGAATAGAAACAGTATAGGCAAAGGCAGTCTGAATATATTTCTATTTCTGGAGTATCAGTTCCTGAAATATTAGTCCTGAGTTGAAGGCAAACCAGATATTAATTCTGATAGCTACCAAAGATTTGCTTTCCAAAGAAAAGCCATATGAATAATCTTTTCTAGCAACTGTGCAACAATGTGTGTTTTCTCAGTCTCACCAACTTTGATATTATCATTTTAATTTTTAATAGCTTATGAATGTCTCTTCTTTTTATTTATTCTTATTTGTCTGATTTTTAGTGAGGTTGAGAATAGTTTTAGAACATTTTGTTCATTTGTATTTCTCCTGTGAATTCCTCATTCTTTACTCATTTCTGTTAAATTACTTGTTCTGTTCACATTGATTCTCTTTGAGTATTAGGAATATTAAGCCTTCAATATATACTGCAAGCATTTTTGCCCAGCATATTTATTTCACTTTTTTGAAATAGTACTTTTCATGCTACAGAACTGTTAAGTTTTTTGCAATTGATTCTTCTCTGTTTGTGTCTTGTTAGAAAGGGATTCTTCACCTTACAATTATTTTTCAAACTTCTATTTTTCTAGAATGCTTATAATTTTATTTTTTATATTTATCTCCTCATCCACCTGGAAATGTTATTTATGTTTGTTGCTATCATCTCTTGCCTTACAGCTGTTTATTAAATAATTAGTTCATTCCTCAGTTACTTGACAGTGCCACCCTAAGCATTAAATTGAGTGTTTCTGGACTCCATTGTTTTTTCCATTGATATAATCTTTTCCCCCCCCCAGATCAGTCACTAATTAAATTACTTCTCTAAGCTTGTTTCACCATAATAAAATGAAAGTAACAATGACATCTACCTTGTAGAGTTGTGAGAAGTAATGACAAAATGAATATCAAACATTTACTACATGCCTTAGTCATAATAGATGCCCCATAAGTGTTTATTGATGTTATTGTTATTTTTATAATTAGTATTATATTGGTATTATTATTCTTGTCAGAATCACATTATTTTGATTTCTGTTGCTTTCTAGGATTAACTGGTGTCTGGTAGGGTAAAATTACCTCATTCTGTTGTTTTTTTACCAAATATCAAGGCTATCTATCATTCATTTCTCTTGCAAATGAACTTGGCAATTAACTAATATTTGGCAGTTACCAGATTTGCAAAGCAGATTACACATTATTTAAAAGTAGGGGAAACAAAATTGTTTTTAAGGCTGGCATAGAGCAATCAAATTTTATACCTAATGTCTTTTTAAAACTTTCTCTGAATGAGGGTAGTCCATCTGTGTATGGTAATATATTAATAATTTTGGTTATAACATTCCTAATAATAATTTAAAGTTAGGCAAACATTCTTTGGGGACCTATTAGCATGTCTTAGGCATAGTTTGTTTAGGGCATTACTGCTCAAAATGTGGTCCATGAACCAGTGTGTGTCTACATGAATGTGTGCAAAATAAGTGCAGAAATGAAGGGTTAGGGTTTAGACAGATTTATAGCAATTGACAGAGTAATTTATATGTTAATTCTGATAGTTTTAAAAATATGGATTTAGTTTTTATACGTCATTTAATTTTGTTTTTCTAGTAATATTAGTTCTTAAATAGATAGAAAACAAATGAAAATAAAACAAAACACAAGACTGGTTTCTTGTCACAGATAGTTGGAGAATCACTTACTTGGAATACCTTAGGCTCTGAGGAACAGGAAACCTTACCTTGAATTGACTTAAACAACCTTCTTTTCTCCCCCAAGCCTCAGTATGCTCCAGCACAATGGCCACTTCTCTGTTTCAATAATTTTGTGATTTATTTTCATTACTCAGTCAGTCAGTTTTTGTGTGTCTGTCAGATTTGACAGATAGCTTTTGAGAAAGGTTATATCAATTTATCTTCCTAGCAGCAGTTTATGAGAGTGCTGGGAAGTCAAAACTTAGGAGTCTTATGTTTACAAAAAGCTTTGCTAACTTGTTAAACATCTTATATCAATTTAATTTGAATTTTCAATTTTTAGTTTAGTTGTACAGTTTTCCATATCATTACTGACCATACTTTTATTTCTCTGTATTTGTGGCTTGTGTCCTTTATTCATTTACCTGTGGGAGTCTTGGTGTTTTGATTATTTACTTGTTTGCATGTACATATGCATTAACCCTTTGCCCACTAATATACATGTTCTCTCATATTTTGCTTATTGCCTTTAATTTTATGGTAACATATTTTCTAAATTTTTAAAATTTTTTCTTGTATTTTTTCCATTACATTTAAATGTAGAACATCCTCTCTCAACCAAAGGTTTACCTATTCATGCTATTTTTAAAAGTTTTTTTAGAGGAGTAAATTTTAACACTTGTTTGTGTTTTGTTCTTTAATCCCTCTGAAAATTGTTTTATTGTATGAATGGAGTAAGGATCTACATTATTTTATTTCTCTTCAGATGGCTATCTGATTATCCACCGGTATTTTGAATAATTGTGTACTTTCCTACTGTTTTGTCT